AGTTCACGTAGTCTGCTTACCTACTCCAGTCTCTAATTTGATTTGAGTAAAAATTTTGATTTCTAAATTCCAATATTTAATTTTGAATGACTTTGATTTTGTTGTTTGCTTCACAATTGATGATTTGGTATTTTGGTAAATGTTTTATGTTAGGTTAATTTTGCAATTTTATAGACAAATAGAAATGTCAGGTTAATTTTGCCAATGGAAATGTTAGGTTAATTTTGCAATTTTGTGTTGAAAAGCAGTACGCAAGACAATTAAAGATCCAAGTGTTATTTGTGAATTATATGATCAGGCAGAAAGAATAATTCCTAGTTGGTAGTTCTCCTTGGGTGCTCATCTTAAGAAGAGTACTAAAAGATTAAAAATAAGCCTTAGAAATCACTCTTCACCACATCATTGCATTTCAGTAAGCAGGATACTCAATACCACATATGAAAAGGTAAATATACAAGTCATATTCACTCAACAAATATAAATTGTAGGGTCAATGCCTAGCTTATTTCAACCGATCAATTATCTTTATTCAGTTAACCGAATAGTTTAAACCTGAAAATAAAAACCCGAAACCTTTTTGATTCGGACGAATTGTTCGGTTTCGAAATTTTTTCGACCCTTCTAAGTGTGCTCCAATCATAATAGTTTCTAGATCCCATATATAATGTACAAACTTAACCCTACACATTGTCCAATGAAATCACGTGGGTGATGGAGCCTCTACTTTTACTTTTTGTGATGGGTGAGTGAGGCACTTTTACTTTTTGTGATAGGTGGCTTTTTTTGTGATTTGTTTTTGGAAAAAAAACAAATTTTAATTCTGAGCATCTTTTTTAATATTAATATTTTTGAAAAAAAAAATCTATTGCTAAACACCTAAACGACCTCGTTTCCTCACAAAAAAAATTACTAAACGGAAGACTTTTTACTTATGGATATTTTCTTAGAAAATTAGTTGCTAAAAGGGTAATTCGTTACAAAAGTTGGTGGTTAAATTGTTAGTGGAAAACTCAAGTCAGTGACAGATTACATTTCTGGGAGATTGGTATTTTCTTGAAAACATCAGATTCTATTCGATCCATTGGTATATTCTTGAAAAACTTCAGTATCTATCAGAACCATATGTATTTAGTGGGTGATTCGTCACCAAAGTTAGTGGTTAAATTGTTGGTGGTAAACTCAAATCAGTGACGGATTACATTTCTTGGTGATTTGGTATTTTCTTGAAAACATAGGATTCTATCGGACCCATTGGTAGATTCTTGAAAAACATTGGTATCTATCAGAACCATTGATATTTTCTGGGTGATACGTCGGTGATTACAGACGGAAATTTTACTAGGTGATTTTTTATGGGTAAAAGTAATTTGTTTTTAGTGGGATATGGGCAATAGGGGTGCTCAAAAACCCGACCAACCCGATGAACTCAATCTAACCTAACACGAAATAACTCAACCCGAAGCAACCCGATGTCTAATCGAGTTGTAAAATTTTTAAACCGTAGGTACTGGGTTGATATTAGGTTACTATTATTTGAACTCAACTCAACCCGATGAACCTGATATCATTTTATTTATTGGATTTAATATGATTGTTGAATTTTTATTAATATATGCATTAGACAATAATACTATCACGTACGCTCTTCATATACACATCTTTTCAATTTATTCATATCTCTATATAACTCATTCGTATATATGTTCAGTAATTTTAAACATATATACGTAAATTAAGAAAATTAACTGAATGTGATATACGTAAGAATGATAGATAATTTGTATCAAATGGTTGATGAAAAATAAATTATGAGTAGAGATAATAACATATTCAAGGTTAGAAGAATATTCTAATGTCCAAAGTACCAATCCGACTAACCCGACCAACTCGTACGGTTTGGGTTGGGTTGGGTTGCACTTTCGTTTGGGTTGGATTGGGTTAAGATTTTTCAAACCACAAGCATTGGGCTGAATTGATCAAATGTCTTCAACCCGATCAACCCAACCCATGAGCACCAATACAGGGGCGAAGCCAGAAAATTTATCTAGGGTGTGCCTAAAAGTTTATGTCTTTTAATAAATACTTGTCCTAAAAATAGCTGTAGAAAAGAGTTGAAAAACATGAGTGAGCTCAATAATATAACTAGAAAATAATAAGTGTATTTAATAAAATAAGACGTGTTTATTTTATAACCTTTTAAAAATTTGGCATTTATAAAGGAAGAAAAAAAAATTGATATAAATACAGAAAATTTCAAGGTGGTGATTTACTTTGGAAACTATTTCAAATTTTATTTTTAAAGTTTGAAGGGGATCCAATTTCCCCACTGGCTCCAAAGGTGGCTCCTCCCCTATACCAAATATAGAGAGAGAGGGGTGAGTTATTATACAACCCTTTACATTTGTATAACCAATACAACTCAATCTTAACCGTCCATTTAATTTGATGAATATATGATTTTATAGAAGTTTTGATTATTTCCTAATATAAAGTATTAATCATAATTAATGAACTATATTCATATTCCATAAATATTCAAATCATAATAAATTAACTCTCATCATTTCTATAAATATCTTAATTAATTGGGTTGTAAGGGTTGTACAAATACACAAGGTTGTAAAAGAAATATACCATATATATATATATATATATATATATATATATATGAGTTCGTTTTTAAAATGCAACACATCACATTTGTATAACAAATGCAACCTAATATATTGAAATGTTTATTGAAATTATGAGAGTTCATTGATTATGATTTGAATATTTATGGAAGATGAATAAAGATCATTAATTACGATCAATATTTTATATTAGAAAACAATCAAAACTTTAATGAAATCACATATTAATCAAATCAAATGGACGATTGAGATTGAGTTGTATTAGTTGTACAAATGTAAAAGTTTGTATAATGACCCATCATATATATATATATATATATATATATATATAATAACATTTTTTCATTTTGGTTTCTTACAAGTTACAACACTTTGGATTTTGGGTTTTCAATAATGGAGGTAATATTTAAAAAAATCCAACCAATCACGGTAATTTGATAGATTACGTTTTTTTTTAATGAATAAATCTTTAATTTTAAGAGAAAATTGAATAAATATATCCTTAATTTTTTTAAAATCAAGGAAATGTAATCAACTTTTATATTTTAAACAGTTAAGTTTCTAAATATATTTTTGAACCAAGTCCTAGTATATCATTTCTTCGAAAATGTATTTAGATCGATAACAAGTACAATAAACCAGTTATAAAAGATTAAACATTACTTTTTTCAGATTAAAATGGGATTGATAAGAGAAACTAATGATTAGTTATTAGATTCAAATGACAATTACATGATAATAACAAACAAATGTGTATCAAATGGTCTTTGTCTTAGCAGTATCGTAGTCTTTGGCCTTGTAAGAGGTCATGGGTTCAAACATCACCAAATGTGAGGTGGATGTGTGAGTTTATTTGTTGCATTGTTGTATATAATTATTATATATACTTATAAAAACAAATGTAATTGTCATTTAAAGATGAAAATAAATAAAGATTAACGAAAATGACATGATTTTTTGGTTTTTTTAGTTTGTTGTATTTTAAACTTTTTTCTTCGATAAAAACCATTTTTTTCATGGATGATTATATATATATATATATATATATATTGCTTGAAAATACATGATACGTATAAAAATATGTACATATATGCGTACCTAAATATATGTAAATATGCGTACGTATTTAAATACGCACACATATATACGTATAAAAATATGTACATAGATACGTACATAAATAGACGTAAATATGCGTACGTATTTAAATACGTACACATATATACGTATATATGTTAAGTTTCATTTACTTTATTTTATACGTAAATATATATGTGTTGTTTAAAATACATATATATATATATATATATATGTGTGTGTGTGTACATACATACGTACGTACATAAATAGACGTAAATATACGTACGTATTTAAATACGTACACATATATATGTATATATATTAAGTTTCATTTACTTTATTTTATATGTAAATATATATGTCTTGTTTGAAAATACATCTATATATATGTACATAGATACGTATGTAAATAGACGTAAATATGCGTACGTATTTAAATACGTACACATATATACGTATATATGTAAAGTTTCATTTACTTTATTTTATACGTAAATATGTGTTGTTTGAAAATACATATATATATATATATATATATATATATGTATAAAAATATGTACATACATACGTACGTAAATAGACGTAAATATGCGTACGTATTTAAATACATACACATATATACGTATATATGTAAAGTTTCATTTATTTTATTTTATACGTATATATATATGTTGTTTGAAAATACATGTATATATACGTATAAAAATACATACATACATACGTACGTAAATATATGTAAATATTTCTACGTATTTAAATATGTACACATATATACGTATGTATGTTAAGTTTCAATTTTTGTACCTATATATATATATATATGTGTGTGTTGTTTTACGTAATGCATCCCTATATATATAAATTTTACCGTAATTTATTCTCGATTTGTTATCGAAATGTATGTATGTATATACATACATACAAAAAAACGTACATACATACGTAAAGATACGTAAATATGCGTACGTATGTCAATACATACACATATATACGTACCAAAATACGTACATACATACGTACATAAATATACGTACGTTTTTAAATACATACACATATATACGTATATATGTTAAGTTTCATTTACTTTATTTTTATACGTAAATATATATGTGTTGTTTGAAAATACATGTTGTTTCAGTTGATTCGTCTATGTATTAATGGTTAAGTTTCATGCATTTCTAAATCAAACTGTCATTTCCTATTAAAACAACAAAGCTACACTTTAAATCGTACATTTACTTACTTAAATCGTAAGTATCAAATACATAGTCTTATGTAGTATCAGGTTCAGACGGACCACAATCGCTTTGGACGACTAACTGATCTTCGACGACTACTCGAACTTCTGTGCGTCGGCTTAGGAGCTGGCATCGGACTCGGACAATTATATCGAAAATGTCCAATCTGGCTGCATCGACTGCAAGTTTTCACTATTGGTTCATCGTCTCGTGACGGGATACGATCGCGGTTACGTGGCCTGCCTGAGTTTTGTATGTCCAAGGGAGGCGGTAGGACGGTCAAACGTTCGTTGGGCAACACATATTCAACTTCTGGTGGAAGGGGAATGACTTCCTCCACGTATGTTGCACGGTAAGAGTCGGAATTGAACCAAACAGAACAGAATTGACTGCAGTCTTGAATATCTAAACTTCGAGCAACATATATCACATGACCGCAAGCTATTCCAGAAAGTTGCCATTGCATGCATGTACAAGTCTTAGCATGCAAATCACACGTTCCTTTCTTATACATGTCGTCAACTTCAAACAACAAATCGCTGATGGGATATACCTTCCAATTTGCGCCCCTATGTGTTCTCTTTTCTAATTTGGCCTCCGCCCAAGGAGTCACTGCATTCATCATTTGCGCTGCAAATATTTGATATCATTAGCATATGTTACATAATCAAACATATAGTGAAAGGATGATTGAATTTACCTTCGTTATGCTGACGTATGAAATACTATTGTTGCAATGTCGCCCGATAAAATTCAACTAACATTTTTATCGGAAGATAGCGTGCAAACCGCGTTACTGAGTTGACGGACTCAGCACTATTGGAAGTCATTGCACTGTAACGCAATCCAGGGAAGTGCGATCGTGCCCATCTAACGTAACCAACTTCCTCAAGATATTGAGCGGCTCTAGGTAGACTATGCCGCATCAAATCCATAGTTGCTTCAAAGTCCGACAACCTGTAAGCTTTGCATGCCTCCCAGAACATCCACTGTTTCCTTTTGTCTTTTGTGGAGGTTAGGCAGCGGTTTTGGCTCAGATGCCGACAACAAAGTCCGTGGTGCGCGTTAGGAAATACAGTTCGTATGGCCAGGTCGATAGAGGCAGCCCTATCAGTTACGAAGGTTAAATTGGGAACATCACTGATACACTGCCTCAACTTACGTAAAAACCATGTCCATGACGGGCCACTTTCTGTCTTCCCCACTCCCATTGCAATGGGTACGATCCCATTGTTTCCATCCATGCCAACCGCTAAGAACATGGTGCCAACGTATGGCCCCTTCAGATGGGTACCTTCCATTATAAGAAGCGGTCTCATGTGTTTTAGAAACGATCGAATCTGCAGATGAACGAGATTAAAAATTTAAACTTCAGAACATAAAATTATAACAATAATTAAAAAATATGACAAAAATTATTACCGAACAACCGAGTGCGACAAACAACATGTCGAATCGTCCAAGTCCATCAACAGCGATCTCTGTCACAGTCCCCAGATTTGTTAGCTTCAGATTGTGACAATAAACCGGGAGTAGGTTAAACGACGATTCATGGGTCCCCCTCAACAGTTGCAAGGCATACATCTTTGCTCGCCATGCTTGGTGGTAGGAGATGCTAATGTTGAACCGTTGGTTCACATCTTCAATGATTTCTTTACCACGGTACACTCTCCTACAATCCTTTAAACTCCCTGTCAATATATGACCCAAAACCTTTTTATTCGCATTACGGTGGTTTGGGTGCACTTGGGACCTTGAACATGGGTGTTCATCGTGGAGCTTCCGTACCTGAAACATACTGGTACCATCGATGGAGACAGCCATTAAACGCCAATCACAGTCCGAATCTGAGTGACACACCACCTCGTACCTGTGTTTGGAAGATTTCTTTACCTTCATCTGAAAATTTTCATGAATGCACTTTAATCCCACTGCGAGCTTCAGTTCTTCCTTCGAGTCAAAGGTTTGGAGAACTTTGACATGGGATGTAGGCTGGTAGGGAATGTTTCCCTGTCTACTTTTGATAACTGGGTCTGGACAAGGTGTTGGGTCGGGCATACCCCAAAAACTATTCCTTACCGGCTGGATTTCTTCAGGATCGGAGTTATCGTCGTCTTCGGGTATGTTCAAAATTTCGGTAGCAACAGAAACATCTTCGGTCATATCTACCTCCCACAAAGGTTTTGACTGTTCGGGAGACCGGATCCGGTACGGGTTGGGAGACTGCATCGGAGACATGTTCAAATCTTGAACAAAATAACTGTCAGGTTGAACAGTAACTTTTTGTTCAAAATATGAATTTCCAGCGGCATCATAAGGGAAGAAGGTGCTTGGATTTTCACCACTGCCCCCACTAGGGAAGAAAGTGCTTTGATTTACACCATAAGCACAACCGGTAGGGAAGAGTGTGCTTGGATCATATGGGTTTGCACCGTTAACGTCGGGGAAGAATGTGCTTGGATTTTCACAGCTTACAGCACCGGGGTAAAAAGTGTTTGGACTGCCTAGGTTTGCACTTGATGGATTTCCTCCATAACCTCCATCGTCGACCACAAATAGTGTCAACATTTCTGGTAAACTTTGACGAATGACTTTGTGGAAGATTACCACATCATCGTCGTCCATTAACTTATATAACGTATTCGTTTTATAAAATAAACTGAAAGGACCACGTAAACTTAACTTTTTCATCACACATTTGATGACCCCATAATACGTTATTGGCGAAGACAAACGTATTACACATGTGGGGGAGCTTATCGGAAGGTACTCTAACACACCATTTATCTCTTGGAATAAACCGCCACTTCGAAGATACACAAAAACATTATCGCTTTGACGTGATTTCATGTTTTGTGATGATTGATTGTGTTTAATGGATTAAGAATTGTAATAATTTATTGTGTTGAAGGGTTAAGGATTGTGAGAATAAAATATATGAGAAGAGAAAATAAAAAAAATGTATGAAAAATTATGAAATAAAAAGTTGGTACTTATAATAAATTGGATCGCCCCCGAAAACGATGGGATGACGTGGATCGCCCCCAACGGCGATTTGGTATTTCCCACAAAATAATTATATAATATAACATAAATAGTAATACATCACATTTGGTCAAACACATTACCCGATTAATTGGGGGGATGCAGCCTGTCAATTCAGACGAGTGATGGATGAATCAGTACTTTTACTATTTGTGATAGGTGATTAAGCCACTTTTACTTTTTTTTTTTTGTTTTTTTTTTTGGGAATAAACAAACTTTAATTATGAACATCTTTTCATTAAAAGATTTTTTTTAATACTAGAAACAAAAATCCATTTTTATAAATAAAAAATTAATGCAAAAACCTTTGTAATCAATTATTTCATAATCTACTCTTATTTATTTAAAATATTTAATAAAAACACTTTATTTAATTTGTCATTTTATTGTCTACGTCATATTTTTTTTTAAACAAAAAAAAATATTTTTTTTAAAGGCAAAAAGGAAGGACAGGGAGAGAGCTTCGGCATGGTCATCACCCTCACCAAGCCAACCAATAGATTAAAAACAGATCCAACAAGAAGCTAGACACAAGCAAATACAAGAGTCCAATACAAAGAACAAAAAATTAAGGAAACAAGACCAAAAAATGTCCACAAAACAAGGCCCAAACCAAAAACAAACAAACCACAGATAAACCAAGAGACTAAATAAGGTAAGGAGAAAATGTCCAACTATCCCAATTAAGAACGAATTTACGATTCCTAGTCCCCATCCATAGCTTGGATAAATTTTTAAACATTATAATAATAGGTTAGTGTTGAATAATCTTTTTAAAAACATCGGATTTTGTTGGACTCATTGGTAGATTCTTGAAAAACATCGGTATCTATTAGAACCATCGTTATTTTCTGGGTGATCCGTCGATTTCTCATCAATTACACGGTTGATCTCCTTGATAATCTTGAAGGCTTTCCTTCCGAGCGTGTGCCTATTTTTGAGAATGAAACAACTACCAACGTCACCAGGAATGCTATTCATGCGTGCATCGATCTTTATTACTTCCAACCAACCCCTAACTTCAGTTGGAACCTCAAGATTGTTGTTTTTGTTTCGGGTTCACGTCGTCATCAAAACCGAGTATTTACTTCCAACAATTACACATCTTGTATTTGTTTGTATAAATATAGAAAATAGTTATATTGTTGAGCTCACTCATGGTTTTCAACTCTTGTCTACAACTATTTTTAGGACAAGTATTTATCCGTATATGCATACCTAATAAAGCCAATTAGCACCCACATACATTAAAAAACTTATTATCAATAGAGATATACATCGGTATACTACGTAAGGGTGTACAGAAAATGTCAAATCGTTCAACCCGGCCCGTTAACAATTCAATTAACTCCAAACTGTTAAACCGTCAATTAACAGGGTTGAAATTAAGTTGGGTTAGCTCAAACCAACCCACCACAATATACATATAACTTCAATAAAAATTTATTTATATATGTACATAATATAGTATAGTCTGTTATATTATTTATATATATATATATATATATATATGTGTGTGTGTGAATTAATAATGTTTATTATATCTATACTATATTATAACGCATTTGATAAAAACTCTTAAAAACCATTTTTTATGCATGAAGTACCGTATATTGATGCATATTACTTAAAATTCATATTTTACAAATAAATCGTGCGTAAGTACAACTTCTTAAAGCTCCATTTTTAAATTCGCGTAACTAACTATAGATAAACATAATTAAATATAAAATAAACATTCATTTTAAATATATAAAATCTAAAATATAATTAAGATAATCACTGAGTTCTAACAGAATAACATAATGTTTAATTATTATATTTATAAAAAATATATATTATTAAA